GCTGGTCTAGTTGTTTGGGCAAGTGGAGTTTGGGTTGTGTTTGATTAGGGCTGTGCACTTTGGGTAATTCTATGGTTTTGTTGTGAGGCGGTGTTTCTTTTTGGCTGTGGATGGTTTGCTGGTCTTGGGTTTGTTTGTGCAGATGTGGTGTTGTGCAGGTTGTTGTTGTTAGGGTTTCGCTGCTACTCATGGGGTGCTTTTGTTGCTCCGACTGGGGCTGTTATAGTTGGGGCATTTGTTTGCTACTACTAGGGTTTGTGTTGTTGTTCCTGGGTTGATCTGCTGCTATTGTTAGAGCCTTTTTGCTAGTGGTGGTGTTCTTCTTCTGTTGTTGGGGCTGTCATTGCTAGGGCTTTGTTTTGCTGCTGGGGCTTTTGCTATTACTCCTAGGTTGTTTTTTGCTACTACTGCTAGGGCTTTTTGTTACTACTGCTGTTGGTGGTCTTTTAGCTGCTGGTGCGGGTACTACGGTTAAGACTTTTTTGCTGCTGTTGGGGCCTATTAAGGGCTGTCGTGCTTAGGTGCCCCTGGCTGGTTTTTGTTTTGCTCTTGGAGCTTGATTGGGTGTTTATAGGGCTATGCACGCTGGTTTTTCCTTGTCTTCGATTGTTTGTTTCATCCCTCTCTTGTGAGTAGGGGCGTGCAGCTTCAATTTTTTCTTTATCTTGTAGATATTCTTTATTCTTTGTATAAAATTACAAGTTACCCAAAAAAAAAAAATGTTATATACTAATTGACCAAAATTGTCTGTTTTTGGTCTTTTTAGGTGGAAGACAACATTATTCTACATTACTATCCATGCATAATAATATGTGCATTTATACAAATAATAACGATATGAAATTTATACATTATCATAAAGCCTCAATTTTGTTCATTACAAGCAATCTGGGAATAAATTACAATTGAATCATTAAAATTGGGGTAATCTCCCCTAAAGAGTGAAACTTGTGATAAAATACAAGGAATACATTAAAAGGGACCAAACTACACAAAAAGAAACAAAACCAAGCAAGGATATACAATCCTTATACACAAAAGCAATACAAACACATGACAACCAAGCTGAAGACTCCAGACATAAACTGCAGAAAATGTAGCAATCACGTTGCAGCTCTATACAAACCACTGTCCAGATCACTACTTCAATTCTAGCACACACAACCCTGCACATACTGCCTAAGACTCTTAGAAACTGCAGAAACAAATTGCAACCTCTCACACCTGCTCAATCTGCACAATGCAAAAACTACAACATGCCCAGGCTTCATTTCTAGCACCTACCAATCTGCACCAGTTGAACAAAAATCATGGACTTTGCATAAAATGCAACAATCTAAAGCAACAATGCATACACTAACAGATTAATAGAAACTATTTTCTTTGGCATAATTGATGAAGAACATTCCCAAATGATTTTATTCCTAAGTGGTCAGTATATCCACAAAAATATCAAGCCATCATGGCTGTCTCTAACCTTCTTGTGGCTATCTCTTATGCTTCGTGGGGTACAAACAAAGAAAAACTTATGAAGAGAAAAACAAGAATTGATTTTCATTAACTAAATAAAACTGATACATAGGTGGGCTTTTATAAGACTAATTAACTCTCATTTACATTTTTATTCTAACATTCCCCCTCAAACTAAACATCTTCTAACTTTTCTAGTTTTCAGTAATGCAGCATCTTAAAACAAAAAAAAAACAATATTCTGCATTAGCTTAACTTCTCTGCAAGAACATTCTCTGTATTAGCTAAATCTTCTTTGTAGCAACATCCTTTAATAACCAAAATGACTTCAACAATCTTTGCCCAGCCGAAGTTCAATATGACTGCGGGTTCTCCAACCATTAGACCATGTATAGGGAGCTCCAATCGAGTGAAGATGAATCAAGTTACAAAAATCAGACATTTGTTTGAAAGCACTACAAGCGAGTTGAAGAGAGGGGCATCCACCTTTCTTTTCATGGGATCCAAGAACAGAATCAAAGTCCCATATAACCATCCAAGGGCCACAATTCAAGGACAAGTCAGATAGAGTCAGCCATAATTGCATAATAGTCAACACAACAAAATCACTTTAGTAACCCAAAAAAAAAAAAAAAAAAAAAAAACCAATAACAAAAATTTGCAACAACCAAATGTAAACTTCAATAATCCAATTACAACTTTAGTAACACAAAAATTGGATTTGCAGCAACCAAAACTAAACTTCAATAATCCAATCACAACTTTAGTAACACAAAAATTGGATTTGCAGCAACCAAAACTGACCTTCAATAACCACAACACAACTTCAAAACTAAACTTCAATAACCACAATACAACTTCAAAATTGGATTTTCAGCAACTGAAATTGGCCTTCAATGACCACATTGCCATTCAGACTTGTTTGCAGAAATTTACAATTAGGTGGTGTCCTAGCGTACGGCTGCGGCTGCGGTTGTGACTCTAGCGAAGTTATGATAGTAGCAGCAACTCTGGCGAAGTTGCAATGGTAGTAGTGACTTTGGCGAAGTTGCGACGGTAGTAGCGACTCTGGCAAAGTTGCGATGGTGAGGTTTTAGGTGGTGGGGGCTACATGGATTTGGCTAAATGGGTTAGGGTTATGGTTTGGTTTGCAAATTTAGGGCAAATGAATTTTGGGAGGAGATTTGAATTTGGGGAAAAATTAGGGTTACTAAAATTAAAAAAAGAAATACATTTGGGGAAGTGATGTGGAAACTTGCTGATGTGTCAAATAAGGTGGTAACGCCATGTCAATTGCCACGTCATGAAGTAAGAGAATTCTGTAAAAACATGGTGTAAGGGTAGCATTACTGTTGTAAATTTGGTTTCGTCGGTTGTATAAACTGTCAATCCAGAAAAAAGTTAAATAAAATTTATCGTTGATTGTATGTACAATCAATTATGAATAATTCTTTTTTTTTTTTTTTCTTTGATTGGTTTATTGTATGCACAATTGAAATTACAAAGTTTTTATTGTTCTCCTGGTTTACTCCTATATATCCATGACATGGTTTGATTCATAAATTTGTAAACTAGCACCCGAGCTTTGACGTGACATCTTTTGATTAGTCGATTGTTTATACAACCATTATAAAGTAGAGTAATGCTACACCAATAACCTTTTTTCTCACAAACTTCTCTTACAAAAATAATTTTAACTAGACCAAAGAAACGGTCGTTCTTTCATAGTTAACAACCGTTCTTTATGAAGGAATTGTCATTCCTCGGGAAGGAATGGTCGTTCCTTATGAAGGAACAACTAAAGGAATGGTCATTTATAAATAAAGAACAGTCATTTGTAACTAAATTTACATTTTACACACTTATTTTGCTTTAAGTTTATACACATAATATTTAAAATTCTGCATACTTGTCTATGATCAACATGCTTACATAGGTATGGTGCAAAAAATCCTTATTTCTAAATTCTAACACCAAATTTTTGTAACGCCCACATGGAGGTACGTAATTTAATTTATGTTCTTATATCTTTAGTTGATTGTTTCTAAAGTTATTTTGAGAAAATGCCTTAAACTGGCATTAAGGGTAAAATGGTCTTTTCACTCAAAATTATTGAAAAAGTGGGGAGTGAAAAGAGGTAGAATTTCATGGAGAATGCAATAAAAATGAGGGCATTATGGTAATTGACTAAGGGACATAGATGGAATTTTAAAGAAAGTGCAAGGGCAAAATGGGAATCTAATATATATATTTTTATGTTATATCAAATTGAAGAGTGAAACCCTAGCCACTCTTACCCATTTTCACGCCACTTTCACCTCCATATTCTCTCAAATTCTTCAATTCTTCTTCAAAGGAAATTCATAGGTTTTGGGTATTTTTGAGTGGATTTTCAATCCCAANGGAAAGGAAAATGATGAAAAAGACCCGGCCAACCCGGGGGGTAATTTGAAAAAACAAATAAAATTTTTTATTTTTTTAATTTTTTTTGGCCAACCCGGCCAACCTGCCGGGTTGACCGTTAGTGTGTAACAGCCAACCCGCCAGGTTGACAATAGCCAACCCGCGGGTCAACCCGGCAGGTGGGCAGTCCTTCTTCAAAAAGGACAAAACAGCAACCCGTGGGCCCGCCTGGGGGTTGCTGCCGGGTTGGGTTCAACCCTAACCCGGCCTATTTGTTCCACCTCTACCTGTAATGGTCACATGCACATTCATATCAGGCCTCAGACGAAAATACCCAGTTCATGAATATGTATCTGCAATACTTTTAGTTGTGGGGTTGATTCTTTTTACCTTAGCAAATGCACAAACTTCACCAAATTTCAGTATGATTGGTGTTATAATGGTATTAGGTGCTGAAATCATGGATTCGTTTCTTGGTAATTTGCAAGAAGCAATCTTTACCATGAATCTTAAAACCACCCAAGTGACTATATTGTGCTATGCTTTTGTGACTTTATCTGGATATCATCTTACTCTGTGACTTCTGTTAGTGTCATTCTTAATTGTTCTATTTCATTTATTTATTGTTCAATTGGTGGTTGTAAAGAAGAGATCTATCATTTTTTTACAGCCATAGAGAACTGGATTTCTAAAATTTCCAGCTTTTGTGGTTTTAAATTTTAGAATTAGATTGATTTGAGCTAGAAAGGCCTGATTTTTAGTCCATAGACTCATCAAATTCAGTTCCAAGTCTTGCAAATATTATAGGTTAGGAGTGTTAAAATCANCATTCTTTCCACTCCCATAAACCCTTGTGGCATTTCCATGTATACCTCTTTTGCAAGTTCACCATTTAAAAACGCGTTTTTTCACATCTAGTTGTTGTAAAGGCCAGTCTAGATTTGTTGCAAGAGATGAGCACCCTGATAGTATTCAACTTAGCCACCGGAGCAAAGGTCACCCCATAGTCTACTCCATGCATTTGCATAAATCCCCTTGCCGCCAGCCTTACCTTATACCTTTCAACTGTTCCATCTGCCTTATACTTAATAGTAAATACCCACTTGCAGCTCACAGTTGTTTTCCCTCTAGGTAAACTCACCAGCTCCCAACTCTTGTTTTTTCTCAAGAGCCTCCATCTCCTTTATCATAGTCTTCCTCCATTTTTCATCCCCAAACGCTTCATGTATCGGTGTTGGAACCTTCACACCTGAGAGATTAGTGGTGAATGCCAAAAAATCATCTACCAACTTATCGTATGCCACATACTTAGCAATAGGATGCAATGTAAAGGATCTAATACCCTTCCTTAGTGCAATAGGTAAATGTAAATCATCATGCCCTGATTTAGACTCATCAGAAGATAGTTCTTCCTTACCCTGTGACTGTGAATAACTAGTTTCTTCTAGTTGGGATGATTGCTCATGCAGATCATTAGGTTTCCTTCCACTTTGATAGTCAGTTCTTCAAGAATAACATTGAAGACCTGGCTGATTTAATCTATCCAAACCTTCCTTTGGTTCCAATCTTTCCTAAGAGTTTGGTTTACCAAGAGTAGGCTATATAGTTAGAGTAAGACCTAAATTGGTAGGCTGACTACGAGACTGGCTCATCCTTATGGGACTAGGTTGACTTATGGGAACCTAACTTGAATTAGGCTGACTAGGAGATTGGCTCATTCTTATAGGACTAGGTTGACCTATAGGAAACTAGGTGACTTTGAACTTTGACCTGGACTAGGNTGAACATATGAACACATGGAAAATGTCATTTTAGCTTATAAATTCGACATGCAAGGAGCTTTTAGCTCTGATACCATTTGAAAGAACAGCATGCATGCATGAAGAGTGGTGGAGATGGAGAAGAAAGCATAAAAGGATGGATTCAAGAAAACGGTTTTTATAACAAAGCTTGAGAAGAAATTATACCTACTCCTTGGCTTTGGATTGATGAAGATTAGCTTCAAAAGGATGAAACCTCCACACTTTAACACCACCTTGAGAGATTAGAGAGTGGCCGTGTGTTTGAGAGAGAGTTTTGGTTTGTGTTTTTGTGAACAAGTCAAGAATGAACTAAAATGCAATCTTTTGCACTTATATATACTTGGTCAATTTTGCAATTATTTATTTTTCACTTCCAAGCCCAATAAAATCTTATTTTATAAAGGGACCCCACGAATTTAATATGCTACCCTTTGAATAATCAATATTATTCAAGGGCCCATGTAAACTAAACTAGTTTACATTAACAACCCATAAATTTACCTCTTTTACCCTTTAACTATTAAAAGGCTGTTTTTGTTCATCTCATTAATCTTAACACTTTAAGATATAATAATTAAATATAATTAATTATTTCTTGACCATTTTAACCCTTAAAATGTCACAAATGATTTCTATGTAACTATTACTATAGAAATCCCGTTATTACCCTCAGAAGGTGCTAGCCCTCTTCGGATAATCATTTCTCTCTCTCATCCTTCTCTAACTTCTCAAGGCTATTGGTGTGACCATGTAGGTCCACCGTGGATTAGCCGTGAGCTGGTTCTGGATGAATCCAAAAACCTGTCCGGAGGCCCAACGACTATGGTAAACATCAAGCAATGTGCCATAGTCCCTAAACCACGATGAAGAAATACTTCATCGAACCCATTTCAGATCATACGTACCATGCAGGTAAAGTCCTTCCATTGAGATATCCTAATCGAGTATGGATTCATGGAAAGTCAAAATCCTAAACTCGATCTTCTACCGAATCGTCAATCAATATGTCCGAAACTCGTCATCACAAACTTGCTTTTGTATGACTAATAATAGACTCTGGCCAGAGATTCAGTTTTCCGACATTTATCGATGTTCGTCTAGGAACTCGAATCTGGATGGAGTCCGCGGTACTCCCGATCATATATTTCCGAGTCAATGGATCCCCTCTTGACCATCGTTCGTTTCCGCATATGAAAAACACATGACCAAATAGGCTTTATTGTACGAAACATGATTAGTCTCGTACTTATACACCGTATGAACCATATACATCCATATCAGATCCGACTACAATGTCTCAGGTCAAAGGACTACATCGTGCACTGATATAACCGAACGATAAATCATTGACTACATGCTTTTCCAAGTGATTTGTCGTTATTCGGTCATGTTCGAAAAACAGTTCACCAACCGTCAATCCATACCAATGCCCCAGTGACATGACTATCATCCTCATCCGTACTTATATCAACTCATGATATCTTTCGGAAGCATCCGATATGCCTACTATGCAATATAGTTGCCCAAATTATATTGCTTCTATAGGGAACCCTTTTCGATAATTCATTTACCGATTAAATGAATCATCTGGGCAATTCATATACATACTTTATTTTAAATGCGTGACTAAATAAAGGAAGCAATTTATATATATGAATTGAAGAACTCTTTCTTCTATTATTTATGATATATATATAGATACAAGACAAAATTCTCTGAAACCGACAACACGAATGGTTTCTAGGGCATACACTAATATACACTAATAGTAACCCCTATTAGCAACACATAAATTACTACCTTATTTGGCCGATAGTTTTGTCTCTCGAGTTTAAGTCTCTAAGGTTGTTAATACTTGTGGCTACTAGAACTCTTATTCGACCGATAATTTTCAAAATCCCTAAAAAAATAGTTGAGATGTGCACAAATTGTCCAAACGCTCCAATCATTAGAAAAAAAAAATCAATATTGATATGGATATAAATTCTGAACCCGCAAATGCCATGTTCATCCCCACATGAATGGGGTTAATTTATAATTTACTAATGACCATTTATTTTCTCAAAGATCAAATCAAATAATAATTCCCATTCACTAAAATTTAATTATAAATTTCTACGATCTATACATCTATATAATCCTTAAGTTCACCCTCTCTATTGATCGCCATTTGGAATCCACATATAACTCCACCTAGGATGCCACATAGGATCTTAAGAGCTCTATTAATATATGATTGCCATGTAGGAAGATTCATGTTAGTCCCTTCACATTCACCTAAATATTAATAAGAAAAAAATAGTGGCATCCCAAAGGTCTCAAGAAAACTTTGTTTATATGTAAATTGTTATTTATTAGTATTAATAGCACATATTGGGCATCTAAAGGTTTAACTAAAACAAATATACATTCATGTTAGTCCCTTCACATTCACCCAAATATTAATAACAATTAAATAGTGGGATCCCAAAGGTCTCAAGAAAACTTTTTTTATATGAAATTGTTTGTTATTAGTAATAATAGCACACATTAGTCTCTTCACATTCACCTTGTGTCGGAATCATGCCAAGAAGTTGTTTACTTTTTATGGTTGTGTTTGGTTTTTCTGTATCATGATGTGTATGGTCCTGATGGGTTTATCTTTAGTTTCTGCTATTGATTTCACATTTGGTCTTTGATGGGTTGTCTTTAATTTTTGTGAAGGCATAGATTTATCACTTTTGAGACCACTGGCGGGGACTTGATACCCTTACAGGATCAGTTATAATATAAAGATAGTAACTTTATTCAACCAAGCATTGTCTTTATGATTTGTTAATTAGTGTGTGATTGCTTTATTTGTAAGTACTGGAACCTAGGAAGAGGTTAGTGAAGAAGGATGGATCAATTGGGCTAGAGAAATTATCAGCGACAAGGATCGTTGCATAGTGTGTAAGGATGAGAAGAAGGTATTGGAATAAGTAGTTGAGAAGGGTATGCAAAATGGATAGAAGATTACATTCCCTGGAGAAACTGATGAAGCTGTAAGTGAATAATTCATTTTTAGTTTTCAGATTCTGTTTGATCTTAGAGAAAATTGACTACCAAGGAAAGAAAAATGGAACTTGGAGTTTTATGTTATTTTTCCTTCCGTTTTTTAAGCAATGAAAGATATGAGGTTTCTGTTTTGCAAAATATGTTTTTGTCGTCGAGAAATTTGAGGAATACAGCTCAAGGAAAAGATATGTACTGAAAAAATATATATATATATTTCTCAAGTTTCTCAGCCTCCAAATAGAGTTGAGAATTAACTTTTTTAGTAATTAATTATTTGATTCTCTTGATTGTAAATTGATTATTACGTAATTTGCAGGAATATGTATACAATAGACTCCAATTCAGGTATAATTTGCATATAAGTGTTGTTGTATTTGGTAACATTTCAATGATTTTCTTTAAGTATTTGTTAATCAGTGATATGACATTTCAAGGATTAGTTTTTAAATTTTGATCAATGGACACCTTTTGTTTTCCCAGTTACGGTTGGTACTTCACATTTGTTCAAGGATTTGTCTATATCGTTCTCATTTATCTTCAAGGTTTCACCACTAAACAAATGATGAATCCATGAAAGACTTATGTGGAAGCTCTCTCCAGTCTTAATGGGTTCTCATGGACTTACCAAAGAGTCTTTGGCTTTCTTAACTATCCATTACAACTCACGTTCAAATCCACAAAGATATATATTTAACTCCATTACTTTTTTTAATTTCATGTTGAAAAAAGTAACGATTTTCTTAACTAGACGTTTTGATAACTTCAGTTTTTGTTTGATAGTCAAACTGGGCCTCTTAATCTATAATGGTGTAAATTATTCAAATTAGCTCATTGACTCTTGCAATGTGAATCAAGTAAATGGGATCAATTTGGCTATAATTAGAAATTTATTTTGTCGTCTCAGGTTTTGCCTGTAATGGTCATGGCTGCATTCATACCAGGCCTTATACGAAAATACTCGGTTCATGAATATGTATCTGCAATACCTTTAGTTGTGGGGTTGATTCTTTTTACCTTAGCAGATGCACAAACTTCACCAAATGTCAGTATGATTGGTGTTATAATGATATTGGGTGCTCTAATCATGGATTCGTTTCTTGGTAATTTGCAAGAAGCAATCTTTACCATGAATCTTGAAACCACCCAAGTGACTATCCTATGCTATGCTTTTGTGTTGTTTCTTAACTTGAAAATTTGTGACTTTATCTGGATATCATCTTACTATGTGACTTATGTTAGTTTCAATCTTAAATGTTCTATTTCATTTATTTATTGTTCAATTGGTGACTGCAAAGAAAAGAGCTATCGTTTTTACAGCTATAGAGAACTTGATTTCTCAAATTTCCAGCTTCTGTGGTTTTAAATTTCAGAATTAGATTAATTTGAGCTAGAAAGGTCTGATTTTTAGTCCATAGACTCATCAAATTTAGTTCCAAGTCTTGCAAATATCACAGGTCAGGAGTGTTAAAATCACATATAACTTGAATTTGATCTTTAAAGTTATTGGATCATTGGAAGCTAATTATGTGTTTGGTGTGCACATATATTGTTGGAGTGTACTGAATAATTTAAGTATGAGATTTAGTGAAATTTGGTTGTTGAAAGATGACAATTGCAAATAACTTACCGAAAGAGAAGAAATCCAGGAGGAGCAAACAAAGTTTTATTGTACAACAAATTTTGTTGGGATGGTGTATAAACTTTGCAGAAATTAAGATTAATTTTGGTATTACATAACATTGGAGAGAATAGTATAACAATGTTGCCGTTACTTTGATTGAAATCATGAATTAGTATATTGCCATGGCACATTTTCCTTGGCCTCTGCACATATGGGTTAGTTGTGGCAACTGTAGAATCAGGTCTTCTAAACAAACTGACATTTTTACAAAGGAGAAGTGTATCTAAATTCATGGTTGTTAGTAGTTTAGCATTGGGGTTAGCCTTGCTCAATGGTATTATAATATTCGTGGCTATTTCACCCGAGTACCATGTTTACCAACCTAAACTCAAGTACTAAAATTCCAAGGCTTCTCTTTTTAAAAAAAGAAGAGAAAATGATAGATTGAGATAATAAGACTGAATTGTAGAAGTTAGATTGATTTACATATGTTTTCTATGCAAAAGTAAGAAAGTTGTTCATTTTTTTTTGGATAGTTAAGTTGATAGATATATATAGCTTAAAATTTTTGGTAATGGTAATTTCACTACAAAGTGTCAAACGATTTTGTGGTGCAATGCAATATGGGAAGACTTGGCCAAGAACTTCAATTTATTACTATTATTTTCACGAATCCCTAAAATACATGATATGTGCAAATTTACATTCTTGATAATGAAAAGTTGAAATACAACTTCGTTTGGGAAAGGAAAATCATATCTACGGAAGTATACATTCACCACTAAAGAACTTCGGTAAACAGAGTATGCCACAAATATATCTAACTTGTCAAGACATGCACTGTGGAAGAAAAATGATATAATAGTATTTGAGCAAACAAAAACATTCATGATTTCAAACTACTCACGAGTGGCTGGCCTTGCCTCACTTGACAGCTTCAAATTGATAAATTGTATTAAATGCAATCCAACCTAATTATGGATTAGGTCAAATTCAATATTGAACTCAAATCTGCCTTCATTCAAAAGGCAAAAACATTCATGATTTCAAATGATATAGTATTTTATATATCTATTTATGAATTCATAATCCATATCCAAATTATGAAAGGACTTTTGCTCAAATGCTTTTAACGAGGTTTTTCATTCTTTTTTGAAGAAATTTTGAAATTAAAAAAGAATATACATGACACAATTAATCAGGCAGTACTACACTTACAATCTAATCTCATAGACTTTCTCTTACAACCCTGACATGATAGCTCGTAATTGTTCTGCTCACAAATTGGTCCCGCCTGCTTGCAGTGGATCTCGCTTACTCAATTATTAGTTGATCAATTACGAACTACTAGATCAAGGTTATGAGAGAAAGTTTGTAAGTATGAGTTGTGAGCCAGTCTTTACTAAATTAATCAACTTTGCTTCTAAAAGAATATCTAGAGTGTGTTTGTTTTATTATTTTGAGTAGTATTTTTGAAAAAGTTAAGTTGAGTTATTATTACGAGGATAGGATTCGAATTTGAAAATGTGTTTGGTAAGATTATTTTTTAATCTCTTATATTTGTTAATTTAGTTAAACATCCCCTACAATAAAAGTTTTAAAATTAAGAAAAACACTCTCACCCACCCATTAAATGCTGGCGGTGGTGACCAACTCTGTCAGGAATATGTGGGTGGGTGAAGGTGTTTTTGTCAATTTATAATTTTTTATTGTTGGGGGTGTTTAGTTAAATTAACAAACCTAAGGGGTTAAAAAAATTTAAATATTTTGAGTTGAATAGAATAGGATTGGATTTTGGGAACAGTGAAACAAACATGCATTTTGAATAGGATATGACAGGAATAAGGAAACAAATACAGCTATGGGGCTCCATTTGTTACACTTTTTTTAGTATTATTTTATTCTAAATAGGATAGGATATGCTTTAATCAAATAAGATATGATTATGATTATATTTGTTAATTCAGCTAAACGCTTTCACAATAAAAGTTTATAAATTAAGAAAAAACCCTCTACTCCCCCAACTGATTGTTGGCAGCCGTCCGCCACCGTCGAACATTTCAACTTGGAAACCGCATAAAACAACAGAGAACAGGCCCAGTACAAATACAAAGCTATTCGTTTGTGTAAATTAACTATATATATAGTGATGAGAGCCCTCTGGCTCTTAATATATGGAAGCTTTGATTGATTCTTTAAAGATTAAGTTATCCAGCCTTTTAACAAAAAACCACCAATACAATCCCCCCAACCAATCAACCAATGCTACACGGCCACACATGTAGCTTGTCGCCACCACCGTCAAACCCCCACATAGAGAAAATTTCAACAAAAATGTTGCAGCTTATTTCATGTTAAAGAGTTTGAAAATTACACTACACTTCAGTCTAAAATGCTTCTTCTCTTCAATATATATCTCCTAGACAATGCACAGCGACTGCCCTTTCATCAACTAAAACACCCTGCTTAGATGCTTCACACCAGAATCATATAAGCAAAGCTTCAGTGAAATTGAGATCATATCATATAAATCTACTCTTGGAACAGTATTTAGTAATTGATTAGAACATAAATTAGCAATGGACTATGAGAAATAGGAAAAAGATTAAAAAGATAGAAGTTCTAAAATTATATAAAAAATTCTAATATAGTCAAAGACACTCAAAGTATATTTCCTCAAACAAGAAAGAAGAATTCTCCTGATGTACAACAAGACTGTAATGAGATTCCGATACTACCCTATAAAACAAAGCGAGGAACGAATCCCTGAAATACATGATACGTGCAAATTTACATTCTTGATAATGGAAAACTGAAATACAACTACGTATGAGAAAGGAAAATCATACTTCATATATCACCAACAACATGAATTTAATTTGAGTGAATACAGATTGTGTGAGTTGATATGGGTTGAAACTTCTAAGGCTATGATTGCCATGCAGTAAGGCATGTCCTAAGATTCACTTCAAGCAAATGAGCAACGAAGTCAATGAAGCCCTGGTCCACCATCACAATCAGTGAAATAATAAACTCAACGCCAATGTTCTTGAACAACTCGGAGACGAGCCTTCCTTTTGGACTATTACGAATACGAAATTAATGGAAAAATTGGAATCAATTGTCAACTGCTCCTATAAATAGGATTGACTATGGATTCGAACCATAGCACATGATTTTCTCCCAATCTAAATCGAGCAGGTTTTATATGAAGAAGTTCTATTCGATACGGTTAGGAAAAGCAGTAAACATTACACTCTTCCTATAATACATTACTAAATTGTACTCACTTAAGCCTGAAACATTTCTTCCCAATATATATCTCCTAGTCTCTTCACGATGACCCCCATTCCATCAACTGAAACACCCTAATTAGATGCTTCACACCGGAAATTGTATAAACAAAGCTTCGGTGAAATTGAGATCAAATCCTTAGAAATCAACTCTTGGAACAGTAATTAGTAATTAGTTCCAGTGTTGCATTTTTCGTTTGGTTGATCGATATTCTTGATAAACCTCTTTAACTCATCAATTCCAACAACCCATTAGCCTTCTCCATCTTCCCCACTTTGCAAAGCCCATTAATCATTGTATTAAATGTCACCAAATCAGGCTGCAAACCTCTTTGACTCATCAATTCAAACAACCCATTAGCTTCCTCCATCTTCCCCACCTTGCAAAGCCCATTAATCATTATATTAAATGTCACCACATTAGGCTGCAAACCTCTTTGACCCATCAATTCAAATAACCCATTAGCTTCCTCTATCTTCCCCTCCTTGCAAAGCCCACTTATCATTGTAGTGAACGTCACCACATCAGGCTGCAAACCTCTTTGACTCATCAACTCTAAAAACCCATTAGCTTCCTCCATCTTCCCCTTCTTGCAAAGCCCATTAATCATTGTAGTAAAAGTCACCACATCAGGCTGCAAACCTCTTTGACTCATCAATTCCAGCAACCTATTAGCTTCCTCCGTCTTCCCCTCCCTGCAAAGCCCATTTATCATTGTATTAAATGTCACCACATTAGGCTGCAAACCTCTTTGAATCATCAATTCCATCAACCCATTAGCTTCCTCCACCTTTCCTGTCTGACACAACCCGTTAATCAAAGTCACATACGTAATCACGTTAGGCATAACCCCAAACACAACCATTTTCTTGTACAACCTCCTAGCCTTTGAACTCCTATTCTCCAAACACAATCCTTTAATCAAATAAGTCAAAGTCACAACATTTGGGCTAAAACCCCACCTCAAAATCCTCCCAAGAACAACAAAACCATCACATACTCTACCCACATTACAAAAACAATTAACTAAAATATTCAAAGTAATCAAATCCGGCAACAACCCAATTAAACCCACTCTCTTGTACAGCAAAATAACATCTTCATGAGACTTTTTCTTAGCAAGCACTCCAAACAACTGGTTGAATGAAGAAATCGGTGGTTTCGGTTGCATATGAGTCATTAAACAAAAGAAATAGCATGCTTCATCAGCAGTGATAGTACCTTCTTTATAATCTTTTTGAAGGAATTTATCAAGCCTCGCTACCTCTTCAACATTATGTACTGAATCTTTTGGTATAGTTGTAGCCACTTTACATGAATTTGTCAATAAAGATGAGAATTTGGTTTCAGAAGAAGAATAACAACGACGAAGAAAGGTTTTGGAGGCCATTTGAGTAGCTGCGTTTGTGGATTATCTAGGGTTCAAACTGAGTTAGTCTTATGAGGATTTACATTTAAATAACAGAATCTCACCCGAAATGAGAGTGGGATAAAATGTATTTATCTGAAACCTACAGGGTTCGCATGTAATTATACAAACACTTGAGCCTATCACTCCCTCTCATTGTATCTTTAATGTAATGACACGTGTTCATCTTCACTCTTCATCTTATTTTTAAACCACATTTGCTATATTATATTACAACATTGCCATTTTCTCTCTTTTCTTTATCCTAGTTGCTCATGTTTTCAACATACAGTATATTTGGTTTCTTCGGTTGTATCTAGGGGCGGGATAAAAAATCCGAAAACCGAACCGAACCGGTAACCGAACCGAAACCGAACTGAAAATTAGGTTTTTTTACAAACCGGTTCGGTTTTCGGTTAGTAAAATTCAAAAAACCGAAAAACTGGTTCGATTTGAAAAATTGCAAACCGGTTAACCGAAAACCGGTTTTTAAACCGGTTTTACCCTACATATAAAAGCAAAATTTTTTTTTTTCACTCACGCAGTCACGCTACAAGCCTTCAACAGCACCATCCACATTCGTCTTTCACTCTCTCAGCCTCCAGTCACCAAATCTGAAAATTTCAAGATTCAAATCTCTGCACTTCGTCTGCGTCGATCGTCGTTCGCCATCACCCATCCACACTGTGAGCTATTTCGTCGTTCGCCAACACCCAGCACTCCAACAGAGTCACGCCATTGTCCCACCGTGAACAGAGTCTTCTCTCCAAGCTTCGATCTGTCGAGCTTCAATTGAAACCTCTAGAGATCAGTCTGGGCCAAAAAAATGACAGAGAGCCAGGCAACAAGGATCCTTTCTTTATTTGGTTTTACATTGATGAGGAAATAGCTGTTGCTAGAGGCAGAAGTGGGGGGACTGCATTTTGGTGTCGGTGTCACCGTGTCAATACCTCTTATTCTTTTTGAATTTATAATCAGAATTCAACAATGTAATTCTAGCACGGATGGTATATATTCATATATTTACATGTATAGCTAGATATGCTTGTACATATCAAGTTAACTTGACAGTTGAAACTGTTCTCTCTCTCTAATGTTATCTCCCTTACTGGGAAAGTAAATGCTGCTGAGTTTTAAGGTTCTGACACTGCAATGTGGTGGTGTGAGTTTATGGGAGGCATTACATTACACTGGTTTTACTGTTTAAATGGAGCTGAAACAGTGATATTAACTAGATTCTTCATATTCATTTCGCAAAAAATTTAGGACTACTGTCAAAGACATCTTGAAGCAATTGGACATTCATAAATTTAGGGGAAAGATGTTAGTAGCTTCTTAGGACATTGTTCTGTGATTGAATTATTTGAAGGTTATTGCGATGCATGAATCATGCTTCTTCCTTACCGCAGATGTGACCTGCTTTCTAGAGATATCTTTTTTGTAATGTTTTTAATCTTAGGTTGTTTATCAGGACAGCAGGGAACATTAAAGCAACAAATGCACTTGTAGTAATTTCTGAGTCCATTCATACAGTGATGGAAACTTACGAGGATCAAGTAGCTTTATGCCTCCAAGTTCTTCTATAAACTGTAGCCAGTGAGGCATGAAATCCTTTGATCAAACACTAGTTTCTAAATACTAGAGGGGTTCTGAAAACACACGACTTTAACGCTTATATTACCTTAGTCAGGATGTGGATGGTTGAGAAATTGTCGATGGCTTTTCCTGGTGGAAAGAAAAAAATGGCATCTCATTTGGATAGGTCCCAAGCAACAAAACAAGCCATGAACTAGAATCTAAAGAGTGAAGCTCCAACTTATTGCTTAACTTTGGGTGCAAGGCGATGTTTGATGAATGGTGTGGAATTTGGATGAAGCTGCAGAACCATTCATGAAGCAATGAGAACTTAAATTGATCGTCTACATGAAAGAAAGACAACTATAAAAAGATATATATGAAGAGAAATCAAGAATTTTGATGCCAAAAGAACCAAGGTAACGTCTTGTTCTCATTTTTAACATTACAGTTTTACTCCTTTTATATATACAAAGTACATTAAAGAAGAGATGATCATTATCACTCAATTATATTTGAGGGATTAATATTTTTATAATAAACCAGTGAACCTTTACATATATTTCTTAAATACATTCTCATAAATACAAGTTCATTTTGTATCACAATTTTTTGTCAATGAATATACATTCCTTATTCATCATGAACTAAAGCCCTTTCATGAATAACTTAGGCTCCGTTTGTTTTATTATTTCTACTCATATTCCAAATCCTATTCCCCAAATATTGTTTGGCATATTATTTGAGAAATATTAGTCTATTTTTTTAATTATTTTTAGTCCCCTTAAGTTTATTAATTTCATCAAATACCCCCAGAGAAAAAAGTTTAAAAATTAACAAAAACACCCCCACCCACCCATACTTGCCAGATTCCTTTCTTTTTTACATTACCTTTCCACATATGGCGCCATATACATACAACAGTCAAAACTGTAATAATACTTAGATCAGTCAGCATGGATTCCGTCATTCGGTTCATGCCACCAGAGTTTTGTCCATCCATATTGGTTTCCATGTAAACGATAGAAGCGACCCTCACGCGATTACTCCCTCTTTTATTTATACCAACAATCACCCTCTTATAGCCCCACATCTCCATCATACAACCCTACTCACCAACCTATAGCCCTACTTCGCCAAGTCACGGTCCCAGTCTAACAAATATAGTCATCATTGGCTTATCCACCAAGCAGCCCAAGATTGTCACTGCCAGCCTTACAGTCCACATCTCCAAATTACAGCCCAACACCTTCATCATATTCACCTACGTCTCCATTTATTCCTCAAGCCCGTCATTTAGTCCTCGCAGTCCATATAATTCTGGGGGAAGCCCCGACTATAACTCGAGTTCTCCACCGAGTGTCAGATACTAGCCTAGTGCGGTAGTCTACTATCCATCATCTACTAGTCAATACACCCATAGAAAATAGGGAAGAATGCCGCCTCCCAATCTCCTTCTTCTTCCATGAAAAATGTCAAAGTTCCCAAGAAACTTGCCAAGAACAATTCTAATCTCTCAAAATCACCAAATCGTTTAAAGAACCTCAAGAGCTATTGGAAAACGAAACTTTGTAAAAAAACGAAGAAACCCATGAAACACCTTCAGCCTCCTTCAAAAATAAAGGCACCAAGCATTTGTAAAAATACTTCACAACAGAAATCCGTCTTTTTTCCAGAAGTTCACCCGACTAATAACAAATCCAACCCAAAATTATTTGTTACAAGACCAAAACCATATTTCAAAGAATTCCAATTTTCGCTCTCTAGAAAATTATCAAGAAACGCCACAAACCCCGCCCTAAACTTTAACTTTTTTATCCAAAAACACCTCAACTCCTCAAAATATTGGATACAGAAAAGTAGAAAACAATAAGAAATTGAAGAGAGGAGAAGACTTTACCGTGATTCGCTAAGGGAAAAGTTGAAAAACTCCTATGGCCAGAAAAATCTTCGTGAAGAAACTGAATGGGGAGATGACGGGTCAAAGAAATCAAATACACATTTTCTTTAAAGACTTGACGCCAAAAATTATAGTATAATAAAATATTTCAAACTTCAAAAGCTGTAAGACTTTTTTCATGCGTTTAATGCACCTTGATTCAAAAGGGCCACGTGGCAAATATTTGGAAAAGTGAGCTTTCAATTCCACCTCCTACACAATGGACTCATATTTCATAAGTTGTTCTCACATGCAGGGGAGAAGGGCCAAAGATCAGCACTTGCTCGGTTCATTCTTTTCATTGATTTAAACATATTCATTCGGCCTCATGCATTTTACTCCATTCAGCCTTTGTTTCTCCATTTGGCTTATTCGACTGTGTGACACGCATGATACACATAACACCATATGATCATTGGTTATTTCTCCATTTGGTCTTTTCTTTCTATTCGATTTGTTCTAGAAGATACACATCAGGATTTATGGAGGTGAATGACAGTAATCATTCTAGTGGCATTACAACTCTACCTTGTTTGGAACATCGTTATCCTGGGCGAGGCTACTTCTTCATTCTGGCTGCATGAGCTTTTTGAGTGGACTAATGGTATTTATATACCTCTTAAAAGTCAAATCAAATACTCCACTTGATTCAGCACAGCATGGGTGGCAACACTTGAAGGGGAAAGGTATGTGTCATTATCTCATTTAACTACCACTCTATTTGGGTAAATCTTTCTCTTATCGGCCCATTACTTAAATACATGCAGCCCATTTTTCCATTTAGCTCACTCTTTATTCAGTCCATAACACATGCACATTATGCATATTAACTCTTCATTCGGCTTTGCTTAAAACATGCATGCCATGCAAGTCACTGCTCCAGCTTCAATCAAAAGGTTTCAACTACAAGTCGGTCACGCGGACTGACCGCAAGCTCCATACAAGCTCTACTTTACATACACCTTCAAATCGGTATGCCGATAAACGTACGGACACCTTTAATCGGCCTGCCCGATAAACGTACGGACACCTTCAAATCGGTCTGCTCGATAAACGTACGGACAGCTTCAAATCGGCCTGCCGATAAACGTACGGACACTTTAAATCGGCTGCCCGATAAAACGTACGGACACCTTCAAATGGTCGGCGATAAACGTACGGACCCCTTCAAATTAGCTGCCTGATAAACGTACGGACACCTTCAAATCGGCCTGCGCGATAAAACGTACGGACACCTTCAAATCGACTGACGATAACTTACGGACACTTCAATCGACGGCCCGATAAAGTACGGACACTTCAAATCGGCCTGCCGATAAACGTACGACCACCTTCAAATCGGCCTGCTGATAAACAACGGACACCTCAAATCGGGCTGCCCGATAAACGTACGGACACTTCAAATCGGCCACGCGATAAACGTACGGACATCTTCAAATCAGCCTGCCTGATAAACGTACGTACACCT